TCATTGTATTGTGCGCACTACGCTGGATTCCTGCGCAAATCACAACTTTTACTTTGATTTCATTTGATCTAGTTTACCGTAACCCTGTTCACTCTGTTGTTATGATGAAAATATGTTGTCATTTTGAAAGTTCATAAGAGACATGCATCTCACCAACATCAGATGTAATGTTTAGCAATGCAATCTGAGAAACGGAATGTCCTCATTTCAGGAAGAGCTCATGACGTCTGGCTGCAGTTTTTCAGCTGTGAGCTGGAACCTGTCACCCTGATCCGCCACAGACTCTGCCTGCCACCTCCCCCCCCACCCCCCATCTGCCGCAAACAGCAATTTCAGTGGACATACCGCGCCAGTTTGCAGCCCTGCAGCTGGAGTGTGGGGTGTCTTTGAGGGGGAGTACCTTGGCTTTCCAGAAGGTAGTTCTTGTATTTTAAATTAGAAATCAAACCATACATGTAAGTGTTTTTTACTATGAGGAGTAGTTATATTTGGTTCTATCTCCAGACAGTTGAGCTCAACCGGAAGCTCACAAATGAGTCATTTGAAGAGTTCAAACACTGGCAGTTTGAACGAGAGACTGTCAGGAAGTTGGCGCCACTGACCTCGGACGGAACAAAGTGTCCTCTCTGTCCACAGGTATGTCAATGACAACAATTAAGGAACAACCATAAAGTCTCAGTAAGCTAGGATTCTGGGGATTCTGGGGATTCTGGGGATTCTGGGGATTCTTATTTGCATTCAATGTTTTTTCATTATTTATAAGGGAAAATATTTCCAACCTCAGTTGTCTTTCTTATATATATTCTATCATTGCTTTGCCAAACAGTAGTAATGTTATGTGGCAATACCATTGCAAGCCTCTGAAAAACCCAACCCCTCGTCCAAGTCATGGGAGGCGGAAACAGGTCAAGTACGGGATTGCCAGACAAAGGCCACCCAGGCCGCTACAGTTGCCATGGAGGCCTGTCTGTATCTCTTGCAGTTCAAGAGTCAATGCTATTCACTCTGTGCCTTAAAATGTTCTACTTGTCTACTAATAAATTCAAACTAAAACCGTGTGAGAGTTTTGACCTATTATGCTGTACCAAAAGCAATGACCACCAACTCTGACTGGGTGGCAATAAAAGAGTCTTGCTGCGACCAGTGGAACAGAACAATCTAAAGACACACAGACAAAATGGGAGACCACGACCAGTCCGTCACATCATTCCATTTCATCTTTCCCGTGAGCAGTGGCAGTCTTTCTGAATTCATAAAGTAGAATCTGTGTCGGCCATCGGTCAACAACGGACTGAAACTGCAAGGGACTACCTGAACTTGTCCTATAAGAAACGCTTGTTTTTAGTTTTTCATTGAAAAGGGGAATTCTGCTACGGTCCGCACCAATAAATACGACCAGGTTACAACAGAGCTACCTAACCCTCTTCCTGGAGATCTACCCTCCTGTGGGTATTCAGGGTAACCCCAACCTAACATACCTGATTCAGAGGATCATGTTCCAGGACCTGACCAGATTGCATCAACCAATAGTTGCACGTCATTTGCATGCCATGTCATCGACTGAGCAGTTGGGCATTAGATTGCTATACCGCTATATCATATGGGTGGCATTCCTGCCTGACTACATTGCAGACGGCTGCCAGATCTCAGGCAGGAACACCACCAGTATGTGGTTAGCTGATATGTTCAACACGCCTCGCGTGGCCATACTTCCAAATCTTGTCTTGGATGTCTGGAGAAATCCAGGATTCTAGTGCTAGCGCACCTACAGCACCAGTCAAAGGTTCTAGAACACCTACTCATTCAAGGATTTTCTTTATTTTTACTATTTTTTTACATTGTAGAATAATAGTGAAGACATCAAAACTATGAAATAACACATATGGAATCATGTAGTAACCAAAAAAGTGTTACACAAATCAAAATATATTTTTTATTTGAGATTCTTCAAATAGCCACCCTTTGCCTTGATGAAAGCTTTGCACACTCTTGGCATTCTCTCAACCAGCTTCACCATGAATACTATTCCAACAGTCTTGAAGGAGTTCCCACATATGCTGAGCACTTGTTGGCTGCTTTTCCTTCACTCTGCCGTCTGACTCATCCCAAAACATCCCAATTGGGTTGAGGTCGGGGGATTGTGGAGGCCAGGTCATCAGATGCAGCACTCCATCACTGTCCCTTATGGTAAAATAGCACTTACACAGCCTCGAGGTGTGTTGGGTCATTGTCCTGTTGAAAATCAAATGATAGTCCCACTAAGCCCAAACCAGATGGGATGGCGTATCGCTGCAGAATGCTGTGGTAGCCATGCTGGTTAAGCATGCCTTGAATTCTAAATAAATCACAGACAGTGTCACCAGCAAAGCACCACCACACCATAACACCTCCTCCTCCATGCTTTACGGTGGGAACCACACATGCGGAGATCATCCGTTCACAAACACCGGGGCTCACAAAGACACGGCGGTTGGAACCAAAAATCTCCACCGGTCTAATGTCCATTGCTCGTGTTTCTTTGCCCAAGCCGGTCTCTTCTTCTTATTGGTGTCCTTTAGTAGTGGTTTCTTTGCAGCAATTCGACCATGAAGGCCTGATTCACACAGTCTCCTCTGAACAGTTGATGTTGAGATGTGTCTGTGACTTATAATAATAATAATAATAATAATAATAATATGCCATTTAGCAGACGCTTTTATCCAAAGCGACTTACAGTCATGCGTGCATACATTTTTGTGTATGGGTGGTCCCGGGGATCGAACCCACTACCTTGGCGTTACAAGCGCCGTGCTCTACCAGCTGAGCTCTGTGAAGCATTTCTTTGGGCTGCAATTTCTGAGGCTGGTATTTCTAATGAACTTATCCTCTGCAGCAGAGGTAACTCTGGGTCTTCCATTTCTGTGGTGGTCCTCATGAGAGCCAGTTTCATCATAGCGCTTTATGGTTTTTGCGACTGCACTTGAAGAAACTTTCAAAGTTCTTGACATTTTCCGTATTGACTGACCTTCATGTCTTAAAGTAATTATGGACTGTCGTTTCTCTTTGCTTTTTTGAGCTGTTCTTGCCATAATATGGACTTGGTCTTTTACCAAATAGGGCTATCTTCTGTATACCCCCCCTTCCTTGTCACAACACAACTGATTGGCTCAAACGCATTAAGAAGGAAAGAAATTCCACAAATTAACTTTTACGAAGGCACTCCTGTTAATTTGCACATCATATCTTGCACATCTATTCATTCCAGTGTTAATACTAATTGTAATTATTTTGCACTATGGCCTATTTATTGCCTTACCTCCATAACTTGCTACATTTGCACACACTGTATATATATTTTCTGTTGTATTTTTGACTTTATGTTTTGTTTTACCCCATATGTAACTCTGTGTTGTTGTTGTTTTTATCGCACTGCTTTGCTTTATCTTGGCCAGGTCGCAGTTGTAAATGAGAACTTATTCTCAACTGGTTTACCTGGTTAAATAAAAGTGAAATAAAATAAATATATAAAAATAAATAAATAAAATTGAAATGCATTCCAGGTGACTACCTCATGAAGCTGGTTGAGAGAATGCCAAGAGTGTGCAAAGCTGTCATCAAGACAAAGGGTGGCTATTTTGAAGAATCTCAAATATAACATTTATTTAGATTTGTTTAACAGTTTTTTGGTTACTACATGATTCCATATGTGTTATTTCATAGTTTTGATGTCTTCACTATTATTCTACAATGTACAAAATTATAAAAATAAAGAAAAACCCTTGAATGAGTAGGTGTGTCCAAACCTTTGACTGGTACTGTAACTAACTGGTTGATAAACTGAATCACGTTAGTTACTACTGGGTTTGGAGCGAAAACCTACAGGATGGTAGCTCTCCAGGAACAGGAACAGAGTTGGTCAGCCCTGCAATAGTGATTTGGGATTTGTACAACAAACAAAAAAATACAAGTAGAGGCCAATACATCTTCAAATAATCTGAACCAATTATTCTAATCTGTTATGTTAACTATCCGTTGTAATACACCCATAAATGAAGAAGCAATGAAGCCTGGAACGCACCCGTGTCAACCTGCGACGCGTCCGCGGGCTAGCAACACAACTGCAGCCGTGTCGACCTGCAACCTGGAACGCGCCCGCGGGCTAGCAACACAACTGCAGCCGTGTCGACCTGCAACCTGGAACGCGCCCGCGGGCTAGCAACGTCAGTAAAGCTAGCCAGCTGGGCCACGAGTTGCCGGATCTCGTTCAGAGGTGACGTTTTACATGTTTTTATTAATTTAGGAGCTGCAAATGCAATGCTCAAGTATTATTAATTACCATTTTGCTTCCTATGGCGTGCAAGGAGGTCTGGTTGTCGGTCATGCTGGAAATGTGATCTCGGATTATTGTGTCATTGTCAATACAGTACATCTACACGACGATATGAAACGTTGATTTTAACCTTCTGACCAACTAGTGGGTCAGGCGGCGCCCCACTGTCTGATTCATATCGCTTCATCGCTTGTTTTCTGATGATAGTTCTCGATTATATCGACTGATTGCAATTGTATGGTGTGAGTAAATAGCCAGAATGAATTTACGAACGCACCCTTAGTCAGTGAATCAGGCCGTCTCCATGGTAACCAGATACTCTTTCTGCCACTCATGCTTTTAAACTACCGTAAAGCCCCTTACCTAAGGAAATATTTGAGGGGCTCTATGCAACTTCCTTAAACATTTCCCTTAAGTAAGGGACAATTATTCCTTAAGGGAAACACTTAAGATGTTTTATGCAACCGGGCTCTGAGCTTATGAAATATTCAATCAACCATTACGCTCACAGACTTCGTGGTGCGTCTTCCTCAGAGTAACAGCGCCACCTGCTGGTGAAAGATGGAATATTTTGTCGAATCTGCACCAAAGTGTATTTATCAATTTTCTAGGGAATAACATTTTCTACGGAATAAAATGTTGAAAGTGCCACTTGATAACTGAAGCATTAATTTACTTGTTTTCTGAGATTTCATCATTCTGTTCCATCCACATTGTCCATGCTTCGTAGCGCAACATCAGCACTGCTGAGGACCAGCACTGAGATTCGCACTCTTCGCTCGGTGTCGAGGGTCTACCGGTTTCTACCGTCGCTGCTGCGCTGTCCGCCCCAAAACAGGCCGTTCTCTCTGTCGGTCTGCTTGTGTAAGAAGAAGAAAAGTCTTTGGCTGGAGCTTTCCGAAGGACACAAAATGAGTGGTAATATTGAAGAGATTCTCGCCCCACTGAGGCTGGCAGTGAAAGAACAGGTACATATCATTTTAGTCATTTAGCAGACGCTCTTATCCAGAGCGACTTACAGTTAGTGAGTGCATACATTTTTCATATCCCATTTAAAGCCACGGGAATTAAGCTAAAACCTTATTGTATCCATTCCAAAGATCCCCACATCATCCATGCATTCATTAGTTATCTCCCAGAAATGACAGCTCAAACACAGCTGCTGTAGCTAGCTAACAATTACATGTAACGTTAACAGAGATCTTTGAATGTAGCATAGCCATGTAGCTAGCTAACCGGTAGCCCCATAGCTAACTTAGCTAGCATGCTAACTTGTTTTTTTTGCCTGTTAGTTGGAGATCTGTGGAAGCTGTAAATAACTTATTTATTGCAGCTATATTCTGTTACCAGTTATACCAGCTAGCTTGAATATGATTTCATAAATAATTGCATTAACATCCATGCCTGCGCTCTGCGATGTATAACCACCATGCCACGTTTCAGCCCAGAGCTGATTCACAGTGACATTTGGGTGGCAGTGTTTCCCCTAGTATTTTTTTTTAGCAGCTGTGTCAAAGTTAGCGTTGAGGGGGTCGTGGTAGTGGTTAGCAAATTGGGAGGTCTCCGACCAAAGATTTTAAAGGCCCTCATCTTGGCCACAAACAAACCATTTTGCTGTTTTAAAGGTAATTGCCTGCAATTCTGCACATTTTGCCATGTGGCTGAGAGAAAATGTGCTATTTCCTGCAATTAGACATTTTGCCTTGGCTGATGCTGTGTTCTTATCCTATCTGAGTGACTCAAACATTATAACAAAATCAATAGGGATCCCATGACATTTTTGGAATAAAAAATTATCTCTGACTGTATTGTTTTTATTGGTGATTATGAGTTTGTATTTATATTTATGCCAAGGCAGCAGCTACTCTTCCTGGGGTTTATTATGGATCCCCATTAGTTCCTGCCAAGGCAGCAGCTACTCTTCCTGGGGTTTATTATGGATCCCCATTAGTTCCTGCCAAGGCAGCAGCTACTCTTCCTGGGGTTTATTATGGATCCCCATTAGTTCCTGCCAAGGCAGCAGCTACTCTTCCTGGGGTTTATTATGGATCCCCATTAGTTCCTGCCAAGGCAGCAGCTACTCTTCCTGGGGTTTATTATGGATCCCCATTAGTTCCTGCCAAGGCAGCAGCTACTCTTCCTGGGGTTTATTATGGATCCCCATTAGTTCCTGCCAAGGTAGCAGCTACTCTTCCTGGGGTTTATTATGGATCCCCATTAGTTCCTGCCAAGGCAGCAGCTACTCTTCCTGGGGTTTATTATGGATCCCCATTAGTTCCTGCCAAGGCAGCAGCTACTCTTCCTGGGGTTTATTATGGATCCCCATTAGTTCCTGCCAAGGCAGCAGCTACTCTTCCTGGGGTTTATTATGGATCCCCATTAGTTCCTGCCAAGGCAGCAGCTACTCTTCCTGGGGTTTATTATGGATCCCCATTAGTTCCTGCCAAGGCAGCAGCTACTCTTCCTGGGGTTTATTATGGATCCCCATTAGTTCCTGCCAAGGCAGCAGCTACTCTTCCTGGGGTTTATTATGGATCCCCATTAGTTCCTGCCAAGGCAGCAGCTGCTCTTCCTGGGGTCCAGCAAAATTAAGGCAGTTATACATTTCTAAAAACATTACAATACATTCACAACAGATTTCACAACATATTAAGTGTGTGACCTCAGACCCCTACTCTACTACCACATATCTATAACACAAAATCAGTGTGTGCATGTGTGTATAGTGTGGATGTTATCGTGTGTTTGTATGCATGTGTCTATGTTTGTGTTGCTTCACAGTCCCCGCTGTTCCATAAGGTGTATTTTTATCTGTTTTTTTAAATCAAATTTTACTTCTTGCATGAGTTATTCCTTGGAAGGAATCGGACAATTCCTTTGACCTCATGGCTTGGTTTTTACTCTGACATGCACTGTCAACTGTGGGACCTTTATATAGACAGGTGTGTGCCTTTCCAAGTAATGTCCAATCAATTGAATTTACCACAGGTGGACTCCAATCAAGTTGTAGAAACATCTCAAGGATGATCAATAGAAACAGGATGCACCTGAGCTCAATGTCGAATCTCATAGCAAACAGTCTGAATACTGTTTATCATTTTTTATACATTTGCTAAAATGTATTTTAAATTTTTTTCGCTTTGTCATTATAGGGTATTGTGTGTAGATTGATGAGGATTCTTTTTTAATTCAAGCCATTTTAGAATAAGGTTGTAACGTAACAAAATGTGGAAAAAGTCAAGGGGTCTGAATACTTTCCGAATGCACTGTATGTGTGTTATTTATGTTCTTGAAGTAGCCACCCTTTTACCTTTTGACAGCTTTGCACATTCTTGGCATTCTCTCAACCAGCTTCACCTGGAATGCTTTTCCAACAGTCTTGAAGGAGTTCCCACATGCTGAGCACTTGTTGGCTGCTTTTCCTTCACTCTGCGGTCCAACTCATCCCAAACCATCTCAATTGGGTTGAGGTCGGGTGATTGTGGAGGCCAGGTCATCAGATGCAGCACTCCATCACTCTCCTTCTTGGTCAAGTAGCCCTTACACAGCCTGGAGGTGTGTTTTGGGTCATTGTCCTGTTGAAAAACAAATGATAGTCCCACTAAGCGCAAACCAGATGGGATGGCTTATCGCTGCAGAATGCTGTGGTAACCATGCTGGTTGTGTGCCTTGAATTCTAAATAAATCAGTGTCACCAGCAAAACACCATCACACCACTATCTCCATGCTTCACGGTGGGAACCACACATGCAGAGATCATCCGTTCACCTACTTTGCGTCTCACAAAGACACGGCGGTTGGAACCAAAATTCTCAAATTTGCACTCATCAGACCCAAGGACAGATTTCCACCGGTCTAATGACCATTGCTCGTGTTTCTTGGCCCAAGCAAGTCTCTTCTTCTTATTGGTGTCCTTTAGTAGTGGTTTCTTTGCAGCAATTCGACCATGAAGGCCTGATTCACACAGTCTCCTCTGAACAGTTGATGTGTCTGTTACTTGAACTCTGTGAAGCATTTATTTGGGCTGCTATCTGAGGTGCAGTTAACTCTAATGAATTTATCCTCTGCAGCGGAGAACTCTGGGTCTTCCATTCCTGTGGCGGCCCTCGTGAGAGCCAGTTTCATCATAGCGCTTGATGGTTTTTGCGACTGCACTTGAAGAAACTTTCAACGTTTTTGAAATGTTCAGTATTGACTGACCTTCACGTCTTAGTAATGATGGACTGTCGTTTCTCTTTGCTTATTTGAGCTGTTCTTGCCATAATATGGACTTGGTCTTTTACCAAATAGGGCTATCTTCTGTATACCCCTCCTACCTTGTCACAACACAACTGATTGGCTCAAACGCTGTGAGACACAATTGAGACATGGATTGTGTGCCGTTGAGGGTGAATGGGCAAGACAAAATATTTAAGTGCCTTTGAACGGGGTATGGTAGTAGGTGCCAGGTGCACCGGTTTGTGTCAAGAACTGCAACGCTGCTGGGTTTTTCACGCTCAACCATTTACCGTGTGTATCAAGAATGGTCTACCACCCAAAGGACGTCCAGCCAACTTGACACAACTGTGGAACGCCTTGTAGAGTCCAGCGGGGGGGGGGGGGGGGGGGCAATTCAATATTAGGAACGTGTTCCTAATGTTTTGTACACTGTGTGTGTGCAGCTTTTTTTTTTTATTGGAGTGGCGCCAATGATTTAGTGGTGGCCTGCATTAGTGGTGGCCTGCACTAGTGGTGGCCTGCATTAGTGGTGGCCTGCATTAGTGGTGGAAACACTGGGTGGGCAGTTTGGAGTCAGTAAGTCCTTCTCTTTGCGGTCTATGTATGGATCTTTAGCATTTGCAGGAACTCTAGAGACCATGAAGGTCTCCTAACGTCACTAGAAACTCTCAATGCAAGTGTGGGAAGGAGTAGTATTCTATCTCAGCTCTAGGAGATGATTGTGGACTACACAGGGAAAAAAAGAGGACTGAGCATGCCCCCATTCTCATCGACAGGGCTGTAGTGGAACAGGTTGAGAGCTTCAAATTCCTTGGTGTCCACATCACCAACGAACTATCATGGTCCAAACACACCAAGACAGTCATGAGGGCACGACAAAGCCTATTCCCCTTCAGGAGACTGAAAAGATTTGGCATGGGTCCTCAGATCCTCAAAGTTCTACAGCTGCACCATCGAGAGCATCCTGACTGGTTGCATCACCGCCTGGTATGGCAACTGCTCGGCCTCCGACCGCAAGGCACTACAGAGGGTAGTGCGTACGGCCCAGTACATCACTGGGGCCAAGCTTCCTGCCATCCAGGACCTCTATACCAGGCGGTGTCAGAGGAAGGCCCTAAAAATTGTCAGACTCCACCCACCCCACCCCCTGTTTTACACTGCTGCTACTATCTGTTTATTATCTATGCATAGTCACTTTAATTCTACCCACATGTACATATTACCTCGACTAACAGTTGCCCCCGCACATTGACTCTGTACCGGTACCCCCTGTATATAGCCTCCCTACTGTTATTTCCCATTGACTCTGTACCGGTACCCCCTGTATATAGCCTCCCTACTGTTATTTTATTTTATTGCTGCTCTTTAATTATTTTTTACTTATCTATTTTTTTTACTTCACTTATTTTTGTTAACTGCATCGTTGGTTAAGGGCTTGTCAGCGTTTCACTGTAAGGTCTCCACCTGTTGAAGGTCTCCACCTGTTGAATTGATGTAATTGTCATGTTACAGGGTGAGCTGGTACGCCAGATGAAGCAGGATGGCGCTCCTGATGTTGATGTCCTTAAAGCTGTGGCTGAACTGAAAGCCAGGAAGAGAACTCTGGAAACTAAGGTGTTGCTAGCTGCTACAGCATCTCCTCCTACAAGTATCTGCTATAGTACTATAGCCTGAACAGCATCTCCAAGTAACTAGTATAGTATTATAGCCTGAACAGCTAATATAGCCTGAACAGCATCTCCAAGTATCTACTATAGTACTATAGCCTGAACAGCTAATATAACCTGAACAGCATCTCCAAGTATATACTATAGTACAATAGCCTGAACAGCTAATATAGCCTGAACAGCATCTCCAAGTATCTACTATAGTACTATAGCCTGAACAGCTAATATAACCTGAACAGCATCTCCAAGTATCTGCTATAGTACTATAGCCTGAACAGCTAATATAGCCTGAACAGCATCTCCAAGTATATACTATAGTACTATAGCCTGAACAGCTAATATAGCCTGAACAGCATCTCCAAGTAACTAGTATAGTACTATAGCCTGAACAGCTAATATAGCCTGAACAGCATCTCCAAGTATCTACTATAGTACTATAGCCTGAACAGCTAATATAGCCTGAACAGCATCTCCAAGTAACTAGTATAGTATTATAGCCTGAACAGCTAATATAACCTGAACAGCATCTCCAAGTATCTGCTATAGTACTATAGCCTGAACAGCTAATATAACCTGAACAGCATCTCCAAGTATCTGCTATAGTACTATAGCCTGAACAGCTAATATAGCCTGAACAGCATCTCCAAGTAACTAGTATAGTATTATAGCCTGAACAGCTAATATAACCTGAACAGCATCTCCAAGTATCTACTATAGTACTATAGCCTGAACAGCATCACTACAGTACCAGAATCACACCAAGTACTTTTCTGATTGAATCAATGGTTAAATCTTTCCAATAACTATATAAATCAGACACATTTCTTGAAGCTGAAATCAGCTTTGGTAGGTATGCACTACCTTAGCTCTTTCAGGTGTAGTGTTGTCTTCTTAAACTCTTAATCACCACAATACTGTTTGCATTTCAGGAACTGTCTCTGCAGCCCAAAGATGACATCGTTGACAGAACCAAGATGGAGGATACGTTGAAGAGGAGGTTCTTCTACGACCAGGCCTTCGCCATCTATGGAGGTGAGATCTATGTAACACCTAGTTATGGGTGGAGGCATACAAAAACAACAACATTGGTTTAAATCAATCACATTTATTTGTGTAGATGTGAGTGGTCTATATGACTTTAATATTCCTTCTACAGGTGTTAGTAGTCTATATGACTTTAATATTCCCTCTACAGGTGTTAGTAGTCTATATGACTTTAATATTCCCTCTACAGGTGTTAGTAGTCTATATGACTTTAATATTCCCTCTACAGGTGTTAGTAGTCTATATGACTTTAATATTCCCTCTACAGGTGTTAGTAGTCTATATGACTTTAATATTCCCTCTACAGGTGTTAGTAGTCTATATGACTTTAATATTCCCTCTACAGGTGTTAGTAGTCTGTATGACTTTAATATTCCCTCTACAGGTGTTAGTAGTCTGTATGACTTTAATATTCCCTCTACATGTGTTAGTAGTCTATATGACTTTAATATTCCCTCTACAGGTGTTAATAGTCTGTATGACTTTAATATTCCCTCTACAGGTGTTAGTAGTCTGTATGACTTTAATATTCCCTCTACAGGTGTTAATAGTCTGTATGACTTTAATATTCCCTCTACAGGTGTTAGTAGTCTGTATGACTTTAATATTCCCTCTACAGGTGTTAGTAGTCTGTATGACTTTAATATTCCCTCTACAGGTGTTAGTAGTCTATATGACTTTAATATTCCCTCTACAGGTGTTAGTAGTCTATATGACTTTAATATTCCCTCTACAGGTGTTAGTAGTCTATATGACTTTAATATTCCCTCTACAGGTGTTAGTAGTCTATATGACTTTAATATTCCCTCTACAGGTGTTAGTAGTCTATATGACTTTAATATTCCCTCTACAGTGTTAGTAGTCTATATGACTTTAATATTCCTTCTACAGGTGTTAGTAGTCTATATGACTTTAATATTCCCTCTACAGGTGTTAGTAGTCTATATGACTTTAATATTTCCTCTACAGGTGTTAGTAGTCTGTATGACTTTAATATTCCCTCTACAGGTGTTAGTAGTCTATATGACTTTAATATTCCCTCTACAGGTGTTAGTAGTCTATATGACTTTAATATTCCCTCTACAGGTGTTAGTAGTCTGTATGACTTTAATATTCCCTCTACAGGTGTTAGTGGTCTGTATGACTTTAATATTCCCTCTACAGGTGTTAGTAGTCTGTATGACTTTAATATTCCCTCTACAGGTGTTAGTAGTCTGTATGACTTTAATATTCCCTCTACAGGTGTTAGTAGTCTGTATGACTTTAATATTCCCTCTACAGGTGTTAGTAGTCTGTATGACTTTAATATTCCCTCTACAGGTGTTAGTGGTCTGTATGACTTAATATTCCCTCTACAGGTGTTAGTAGTCTGTATGACTTTAATATTCCCTCTACAGGTGTTAGTAGTCTGTATGACTTTAATATTCCCTCTACAGGTGTTAGTAGTCTGTATGACTTTAATATTCCCTCTACAGGTGTTAGTAGTCTGTATGACTTTAATATTCCCTCTACAGGTGTTAGTAGTCTATATGACTTTAATATTCCCTCTACAGGTGTTAGTAGTCTATATGACTTTAATATTCCCTCTACAGGTGTTAGTAGTCTGTATGACTTTAATATTCCCTCTACAGGTGTTAGTAGTCTATATGACTTTAATATTCCCTCTACAGGTGTTAGTAGTCTATATGACTTTAATATTCCCTCTACAGGTGTTAGTAGTCTGTATGACTTTAATATTCCCTCTACAGGTGTTAGTAGTCTGTATGACTTTAATATTCCCTCTACAGGTGTTAGTAGTCTGTATGACTTTAATATTCCCTCTACAGGTGTTAGTAGTCTATATGACTTTAATATTCCCTCTACAGGTGTTAGTAGTCTATATGACTTTAATATTCCCTCTACAGGTGTTAGTAGTCTATATGACTTTAATATTCCCTCTACAGGTGTTAGTAGTCTATATGACTTTAATATTCCCTCTACAGGTGTTAGTAGTCTATATGACTTTAATATTCCCTCTACAGGTGTTAGTAGTCTATATGACTTTAATATTCCCTCTACAGGTGTTAGTAGTCTATATGACTTTAATATTCCCTCTACAGGTGTTAGTAGTCTGTATGACTTTAATATTCCCTCTACAGGTGTTAGTAGTCTATATGACTTTAATATTCCCTCTACAGGTGTTAGTAGTCTATATGACTTTAATATTCCCTCTACAGGTGTTAGTAGTCTATATGACTTTAATATTCCCTCTACAGGTGTTAGTAGTCTATATGACTTTAATATTCCCTCTACAGGTGTTAGTGGTCTGTATGACTTCGGCCCTGTGGGCTGTGCCCTGAAGAACAACATCCTGCAGGCCTGGAGGCAGCACTTCATCCAGGAGGAGCAGATCCTGGAGATCGACTGCACCATGCTCACCCCGGAGGCCGTTCTCAAGTGGGTCCTGACACTACACTCCACACTACAATTAGCCTAACTTTACTAACGTAGTAGTTATCAGAGTGCCAATACAAAGGGAGGGACTGTACAGACTTGTGTTATTGCACTGATTGCGTTATGGACGTGTAGACTTGGAGTTCTGATATAACAGGATGGTGGTGCGGCGGTCCTTCGTAGGCACATTTTGTCATCAAAGTCTGGCATTCTCTGGATTTATGGTGCTTTCCAGACAACTGGGAGAAAAAAACAAAGTCGAATCATGATGAAGTCAGTGATCTTCAGGTCGGAGCTCTAGAAAGAGGCCAGAGTTCCCGACTTGCAATTCCGAGTTGGATGACCGCTCAAAACGTATTTTCCCAGTCGGAGCTAGTTTTTTTCCCCCAGTGCCCAGTTGTTTTGAGCGGCAGAAGTCATGCTGGATTGGCAGCTTCGCCAATGTTGAATGTTTTTCTTTTTAAGCTTGGAAACGAGACCCTTAAACCCAGACTTGGACCACACACCCAGGCTAGTGATTGCTTGCAGTTAGCCATTGATTCCTTCCAAACCACTCTTTGTTGAATTTGTGATTTCCAGATTGTGTAATGTTTATGGCCGATGAGCACCGATACATTTTATCTGTAATTTCTCTTCATATGAAAAGGATTGAAAGGGATTTGCCAGTAGATTGTCGACTTGATTCATGATGATGACTGCTGGCTTGCTAGCTAAGATTTTTAAAGTATGATGTTGACATGATCAGTCCAATCAAAGCTACTGTAGATATAATGTGATTTGATGTCATTTTATCTGTGGCCAATGACCTTGAACCTTCTTGGATGGGCACTTCTAATGTAACTCTATGGCAGCACCCAAGGGGCTTGAATTTTCGAGCTCTACCCGTAGGTTTTGCGGTGGCATAGTGTCCCCATGAGTGACACAACACTGAGCCAATCATGGCGCAACTAGAGAACATTACCAACACCTACGCTGTGTGTTTTCCGCTGGCTGCCCCACCACCACAGAAAGCCCTGAGCTGGCTGCCCCACCACCACAGAAAGCCCTGAGCTGGCTGCCCCACCACCACAGAAAGCCCTGAGCTGGCTGCCCCACCACCACAGAAAGCCCTGAGCTGGCTGCCCCACCACCACAGAAAGCACTGAGCTGGCTGCCCCACCACCACAGAAAGCCCTGAGCTGGCTGCCCCACCACCACAGAAAGCCCTGAGCTGGCTGCCCCACCACCACAGAAAGCCCTGAGCTGGCTGCCCCACCACCACAGAAAGCCCTGAGCTGGCTGCCCCACCACCACAGAAAGCCCTGAGCTGGCTGCCCCACCACCACAGAAAGCACTGAGCTGGCTGCCCCACCACCACAGAAAGCCCTGAGCTGGCTGCCCCACCACCACAGAAAGCCCTGAGCTGGCTGCCCCACCACCACAGAAAGCACTGAGCTAGGCTGAAACACCTGCATTTTGGAGCTGCTTTACTCAAGAAAGCCAAAAAGAGACCATGTTTGTATGCGGCTTTATTAACTCAATTATATATTTTTTAAATATTGTTTGCAAACGATGTGACAGGTATTAATGCCAAAATAACAGGCACACATTTTTTTTTTTTAGAATAATAATTTCGGGTTTAACAGGTGGGGCTCAAAACAGGTGGCCCCACCTGCCCTGAATGATGGGTCGCCATTGGCCATATGGCAGATCAGATCAGGGCCTAACATAAAGACAACTCGGTATGCTACATGTTCTTCATATGTTTCATGGATTTATTGTGATGGTGTAGGATTTATTAGACTTTATAAAATGCAGATGTTCCAAAGGTCTGCATCAGTGGCTTGTAGGCTGTGCGTGGAAGCCAGGAGATGTTAATTAACGGTCAATTACCGTGAGACCGGCTGTTATTTGCATGACAGTCACCAGCTGACAATTTGATAACCGCCACAGCCCTAGTGGCCTACCGCTGGCCAATCAGATGGCTGTGTCTGCAGTAACGTAGCAGGCGTAAAAGAAAGCTACAGTTGATACTGTGAGATTTCAAAATGTTTAAAAGCAAAGAGCTGTTGTTTTTATGACAGTTCATGCGCTGTCAACACTTTGTATTCAACACTTTTATAAACCATAAAATGCACTTCCTATTTCCACTCAGCACTACAACAAGCACTGCAGCAGTAATGAATGAGTAGGAAAGTGGATCTATAGGCTTCCGCTGTTGTTATTAGCGGCTTGGGTCTTACTTAATATCGAGGAATATTTCACTTTCATAGGAGTAACAACAGGAATTTGTGCATGAGGCAGAAATAATGTGGAGCGACTCGAGTTTCGCCGTCAGCTGGAAGACGGTGTCCCTTTTTGGTCGGTGTCAGTGGAGGAAAGGGAGAGAGGAGGGATGTTGAGAGGCGGTGTCAGTGGAGGAAAGGGAGAGAGGAGGGATGTTGAGAGGCAGTGGAGGAAAGGGAGAGCGGAGGGATGTTGAGAGGCGGTGTCAGTGGAGGAAAGGGAGAGCGGAGGGATGTTGAGAGGCAGTGGAGGAAAGGGAGAGCGGAGGGATGTTGAGAGGCGGTGTCAGTGGAGGAAAGGGAGAGCGGAGGGATGTTGAGAGGCAGTGGAGGAAAGGGAGAGAGGAGGGATGTTGAGAGGCAGTGGAGGAAAGGGAGAGCGGAGGGATGTTGAGAGGCGGACCCTCCGTCTGCTGCTCTCCCTCCGCTGAGACGGACCGTCAGATCCAGGCACCATCAGCCCAGGCACCATCAGCCCAGGCACCATCAGCCCAGGCACCATCAGCCCAGTGAAATAACAAGCTAATGATTTAAATGTATTGTCACTCAGCTGTGCTTCACCAATAATATAACAACAGATATATTACCGCTGTGATCATATAGCCCCAAATGTTGAAATATCCTTTTTTTTTTATGGCAATTCAAGCAAAGCCAATATGCAGTACTGTTTTTAATTGGTTAATGTTGCATAGGCTTACGTAAAAAATTAAAAATAATAATGTTAAAAGAAAATCTGAGCGGTATATCTTGACTCGGAGGTTGGTGACTACTGTTGTAATTCCCCTGTTAACACGATCAACATGTCCCTTTACTGTGGCAATTGTGATCTAATCAACGCAATATTAGCCACTTACAATGCAACATACCGAAACAAAACGAACTATGCAAGAGATTTTATTGTAGGCAGAACGCATCGGAGTAGGATTCTATTGCATTGACAGGCACTGCTCAGCCCGTACTCTACACAGACCGGTGTGGCATAACCAATCAGAGCTGCAGTAGGCCTATATGCAAATAGACCATTGCCAAATATGGATCTAGGCCGTTTACTTTGAACTGGACTGTGTTTACAGCATGAGCGGTCGTGAGTAGATGTGCTTGTTTTGAGATCAAAGTGAGAGCTGCATGTAGCCACGTGTACACATTTTGTTCATATCCTTTGCTAGTTAGTGAGTTATTAGCCCAGTTATAGATCATTTGTTCATATCCTTAGCTAGTTAGTGAGTTATTAGCCCAGTTATAGATCATTTGTTCATATCCTTTGCTAGTTAGTGAGTTATTAGCCCAGTTATAGATCATTTGTTCATATCCTTTGCTAGTTAGTGAGTTATTAGCCCAGTTACAGATCATTTTGTTCATATCCTTTGCTAGTTAGTGAGTTTATTAGCCCAGTTATAGATCATTTGTTCATATCCTTTGCTAGTTAGTGAGTTATTAGCCCAGTTATAGATCATTTGTTCATATCCTTTGCTAGTTAGTGAGTTATTAGCCCAGTTATAGATCATTTGTTCATATCCTTTGCTAGTTAGTGAGTTATTAGCCCAGTTATAGATCATTTGTTCATATCCTTTGCTAGTTAGTGAGTTATTAGCCCAGTTACAGATCATTTGTTCATATCCTTTGCTAGTTAGTGAGTTATTAGCCCAGTTATAGATCATTTGTTCATATCCTTTGCTAGTTAGTGAGTTATTAGCCCAGTTATAGATCATTTGTTCATATCCTTTGCTAGTTAGTGAGTTATTAGCCCAGTTATAGATCATTTGTTCATATCCTTTGCTAGTTAGTGAGTTATTAGCCCAGTTATAGATCATTTGTTCATATCTTTTGCTAGTTAGTGAGTTATTAGCCCAGTTACAGATCATTTGTGGTCAGCAATAGGGGAGTGATTGCTTCCTACAAGAGCACAAAACATGTACATTTCTAGACATCATTGAAAAGCGAGTCAGTTAAAGAGCTTTTTTTTTGTCTTAAAGGGGCAGTGTTGTATTTTGAGACAGGCTTGAATAAGCTAAGTAGCCAATAGGCAGAGGGTAGCATAATGTGTCTGATTCTCTGTAGTAATGGTATGGGAATAATAATGCATTTTATTTTGTGAAGTGGTTTCTTGCATCAAACAACACAACATTTTCAGTCACCAAACATGTTAATTAATGTGAAAAGTCTCATGGAATGTAGCCCTACATTGAACACCACCCATTGGCTGCTACTGTAGACTGAACGACATAACAGCTATTTCCATGTTAAATGTTATGGGATGCATTTTCTCCATTGTTTTTGATGGTAGGCCACTCTGGTAGGCCTACATTATGATCAAATAGCCACAGTAGCCTACTTGGCCACTGTTAAAACTGTAACTTAAAGCGGGTACAGCCTCAATGTTCACAGTAAACACGCACTGGAAGTTGCACAGAATTTTCACAACGTTCAAGTTTGCGCTCAGCAGACCTCAGTGCCGAAACAAATGACGCGGTCATCTGAGCCATCCGATTGGCCAGCGGTAGGCCTATAGTGCACTTGATTTGCTCTCTGGGCCCGCCGGGAAGGCAGAGTTTGTACCTTCAGACACATTAAATGGTTAAAAATGTCAACAATTGGCCTAACCAGCGCACAGGGCAGCTTAATCGGGTGCACCAACCGCCAACAGCCCCAGATAATACAAATAGGAACACAAGGCTTTATAGCCACAGTAGATAATAGGAACACAAGGCTTTATCGCCACAGTAGATAATAGGAACACAAGGCTTTATAGCCACAGTAGATAATAGGAACACAAGGCTTTATAGCCACAGTAGATAATAGGAACACAAGGCTTTATAGCCACAGTAGATAATAGGAACACAAGGCTTTATAGCCACAGTAGATAATAGGAACACAAGGCTTTATAGCCACAGTAGATAATAGGAACACAAGGCTTTATAGCCACAGTAGATAATAGGAACACAAGGCTTTATCGCCACAGTAGATAATAGGAACACAAGGCTTTATCGTTGGGTATGCAGTTTAAATAAGTAGTAGGCAAGCCAGATTTGGAACACGGCCAATCATTATAGGATGTATCCCAAATGGCACCCTTTTCCCGATATAGTGCACTTGTTTTGACCAGGGCCCATAGAGATCTATGACTATTATGACTAAGGACAGCTGACGGCTCTGTTCTTTCCCAATCTTAATATTTGGGTATAATGTGCTATTATGTCTACAGGACGTCTGGGCACGTGGACAAGTTTGCGGACTACATGGTGAAAGACGTGAAGAACGGAGAGTGTTTCAGGGCAGACCACCTCCTCAAAGGTTAGTCTATACTCTTGACATGGTGTGAAAAAGAGAAATGCCCTATTCACACAACTGGTATTTTCCAACCTCTACATCAATATAATAGAATTGACATTACAGTAGTCAAACCTTTGTTCAGTGCACTGTGTTGTCCCTGTGTATCAGTTAGCTGGGGCCTGTCAGTACTGTGTTGTCCCTGTGTATCAGTTAGCTGGGGCCTGTCAGTACTGTGTTGTCCCTGTGTATCAGTTTAGCTGGGGCCTGTCAGTACTGTGTTGTCCCTGTGTATCAGTTAGCTGGGGCCTGTCAGTAACTGTGTTGTCCCTGTGTATCAGTTAGCTGGGGCCTGTCAGTACTGTGTTGTCCCTGTGTATCAGTTTAGCTGGGGCCTGTCAGTACTGTGTTGTCCCTGTGTATCAGTTAGCTGGGGCCTGTCAGTACTGTGTTGTCCCTGTGTATCAGTTAGCTGGGGCCTGTCAGTACTGTGTTGTCCCTGTGTATCAGTTAGCTGGGGCCTGTCAGTACTGTGTTGTCCCTGTGTATCAGTTAGCTGGGGCCTGTCATACTGTGTTGTCCCTGTGTATCAGTTAGCTGGGGCCTGTCAGTACTGTGTTTGTCCCTGTGTATCAGTTAGCTGGGGCCTGTCAGTACTGTGTTGTCCCTGTGTATCAGTTAGCTGGGGCCTGTCAGTACTGTGTTGTCCCTGTGTATCAGTTAGCTGGGGCCTGTCAGTACTGTGTTGTCCCTGTGTATCAGTTAGCTGGGGCCTGTCAGCACTGTGTTGTCCCTGTGTATCAGTTAGCTGGGGCCTGTCAGCACTGTGTTGTCCCTGTGTATCAGTTAGCTGGGGCCTGTCAGTACTGTGTTGTCCCTGTGTATCAGTTAGCTGGGGCCTGTCAGTACTGTGTTGTCCCTGTGTATCAGTTAGCTGGGGCCTGTCATACTGTGTTGTCCCTGTGTATCAGTTAGCTGGGGCCTGTCAGTACTGTGTTGTCCCTGTGTATCAGTTAGCTGGGGCCTGTCAGTACTGTGTTGTCCCTGTGTATCAGTTAGCTGGGGCCTGTCAGTACTGTGTTGTCCCTGTGTATCAGTTAGCTGGGGCCTGTCAGTACTGTGTTGTCCCTGTGTATCAGTTAGCTGGGGGCCTGTCAGTACTGTGTTGTCCCTGTGTATCAGTTAGCTGGGGCCTGTCAGTACTGTGTTGTCCCTGTGTATCAGTTAGCTGGGGCCTGTCAGTACTGTGTTGTCCCTGTGTATCAGTTTAGCTGGGGGCCTGTCAGTACTGTGTTGTCCCTGTGTATCAGTTTAGCTGGGGCCTGTCAGTACTGTGTTGTCCCTGTGTATCAGTTAGCTGGGGCCTGTCAGTACTGTGTTGTCCCTGTGTATCAGTTAGCTGGGGCCTGTCAGTACTGTGTTGTCCCTGTGTATCAGTTAGCTGGGGCCTGTCAGTACTGTGTTGTCCCTGTGTATCAGTTAGCTGGGGCCTGTCAGTACTGTGTTTGTCCCTGTGTATCAGTTAGCTGGGGCCTGTCCAGTACTGTGTTGTCCCTGTGTATCAGTTAGCTGGGGGCCTGTCAGTACTGTGTTGTCCCTGTGTATCAGTTAGCTGGGGCCTGTCAGTACTGTGTTGTCCCTGTGTATCAGTTAGCTGGGGGCCTGTCAGTACTCTGTCCCTGTGCTGTGCCCACCAAAGCCTCCCTCGCAGACGAGCTTAACTCATTCTATGCTCGCTTCGAGGCAGACAATACCGAGCCATCTAGGAAGGCTCTCGCTGCTCCAGACGACCAGAGGTTGACGTGAGGAAAACTCTCGAGTGAATACTCACAAAGCCACCGGCCCTGATGGCATCCCTGGCCGCGTCCTCAGCGTGTGGACATCCCTGGCCGCGTCCTCAGCGTGTGGACATCCCTGGCCGCGTCCTCAGCGTGTGGACATCCCTGGCCTGATGGCGTCCCTGGCCGCGTCCTCAGCGTGTGGACATCCCTGGCCGCGTCCTCAGCGTGTGGACATCCCTGGCCGCGTCCTCAGCGTGTGGACATCCCTGGCCGCGTCCTCAGCATGTGGACATCCCTGGCTGCGTCCTCAGCGTGTGGACATCCCTGGCCGCGTCCTCAGGGTGTGGACATCCCTGGCCGCGTCCTCAGCGTGTGGACATCCTGGCCGCGTCCTCAGCGTGTGGACGTCCCTGGCCGCGTCCTCAGCGTGTGGACGTCCCTGGCCGCGTCCTCAGCGTGTGGACATCCCTGGCCGCGTCCTCAGCGTGTGGACATCCCTGGCCGCGTCCTCAGCGTGTGGACATCCCTGGCCGCGTCCTCAGCGTGTGGACATCCCTGGCCGCGTCCTCAGCGTGTGGACATCCCTGGCCGCGTCCTCAGCGTGTGGACATCCCTGGCCTGATGGCGTCCCTGGCCGCGTCCTCAGCGTGTGGACATCCCTGGCCGCGTCCTCAGCGTGTGGACGTCCCTGGCCGCGTCCTCAGCGTGTGGACATCCCTGGCCGCGTCCTCAGCGTGTGGACATCCCTGGCCGCGTCCTCAGCGTGTGGACATCCCTGGCCGCGTCCTCAGCGTGTGGACATCCCTGGCCGCGTCCTCAGCGTGTGGACATCCCTGGCCGCGTCCTCAGCGTGTGGACATCCCTGGCCGCGTCCTCAGCATGTGCTGACCAGCTGGCGGCGTCTTCTCTGACATCTTCAACCTGTCCCAGGCTGTAGTCCCCACCTGCTTTAAGGAGACCACCATCGTCCCAGTGCCCAAATGACTATCGCCCCGTCACACTCACCCCAGTCATCATGACGTGCTTTGAGAGGCTGGTCATGGCCCACATGAAGGCCAGCATACCAGGCCCACTGGACCCACTCCAATCTGCCTACCACTCCAACAGATCCATGGAAGATGACATTTCCATCACTGTCACATGGCCATAACACATCTGGACAAGAGGAACACCTATGTGACAATGCTGTTCATTGACTACAGTTGAATGCTGAACACTATTGTTCCCTCCAAGCTCGACACCAAGCTCAGAGCCCTGGGTCTGGACACCACCCTCTGCAACTGGATCCTGGACTTCCTGACTGGCAGACCACAGGCTGTGAGGATTGGCAACAACACCTCCTCCACGCTGACTCTTAACTCAGGGGCCCCCAGGGGTCCTGCTGTACTTGCTGTTCACCCATGACTGCATGGCTTTGCACGACACCAACTCCATCATCAAGGTTGCTGACGACACCACGGCTGTAGGTCTGATAGCCAACAGTCAGCCTATAGGGAGGAGGTGAGTGAACTGGCAGCCTATAGGGAGGAGGTCAGTGAACTGGCATTGTGGTGCCAGGACAACAACCTCTCCCTCAACGTCAACAAAACAAAGGAGTTGATTGTTGACTTCAGGAAGCAGAGGAGGGAACATGCCCCTCGGCGTGCCACCGCGGGTCCTCTCCAAATAGCTGCACCGTCGAGAGCGTCGCAGCCTGGTACGGGTATTGCTCCATCCACGACCGCAGCTCCATAACTCCAGTACATCACTGGGACCGTGCTCCATACCGTACCTCCAGTACATCACTGGGACCGTGCTCCATACCATACCTCCAGTACATCACTGAGGACCGTGCTCCATACCGTACCTCCAGTACATCCCAGCTGCTGCTACCAGACTCTTATTATACTGCTCAGTTTATACCCTGTCCCCTTCCCCCCTTCCCCTCAGTTTATACCCTGTCCCCATCCCCCCTTCCCCTCAGTTTATACCCTGTCCCCACCCCCCCTTCCCCTCAGTTTATACACTGTCCCCATCCCCCCTTCCCCTCAGTTTATACACTGTCCCCATCCCCCCCTTCCCCTCAGTTTATACCCTGTCCCCATCCCCCTTCCCCTCAGTTTATACCCTGTCCCCATCCCCCCCTTCCCCTCAGTTTATACCCTGTCCCATCCCTCCTTCCCCTCAGTTTATAAACCCTGTCCCCATCCCCCCTTCCCCTCAGTTTAATACCCTGTCCCCCATCCCCCCCTTCCCCTCAGTTTATACCCTGTCCCCATCCCCCCCTTCCCCTCAGATTATACCCTGTCCCCATCCCCCCTTCCCCTCAGTTTATACCCTGTCCCCATCCCCCCCTTCCCCTCAGATTATACCCTGTCCCCATCCCCCCTTCCCCTCAGATTATACCCTGTCCCCATCCCCCCTTCCCCTCAGTTTTATAACCCTGTCCCCATCCCCCCTTCCCCTCAGATTATACCCTGTCCCCATCCCCCTTCCCCAAAACACCTGTAAATATTGGAGTATAAGTTGTTCCTTCCTGTATTATACTGATGCTAATGTTTATTCTGTTCTACTGATCCATTTACTTTATATTGTTATTGTATTATTTCTTATTGTTGTTGAATTGTGGAGAAGGAACCTGCCAGGAAGCATTTAGTTGGACGGTGTCTACCATATGTATGTGGAGAAGGAACCTGCCAGGAAGCATTTAGTTGGACGGTGTCTACCATGTGTATGTGGAGAAGGAACCTGCCAGGAAGCATTTAGTTGGACGGTGTATACCATGTGTATGTGGAGAAGGAACCTGCCAGGAAGCATTTAGTTGGACGGTGTCTACCATGTGTATGTGGAGAAGGAACCTGCCAGGAAGCAGGGACGGTGGTCTACCCATGTGTATGTGGAGAAGGAACCTGCCAGGAAGCATTTAGTTGGACGGTGTCCTACCATGTGTATGTGGAGAAGGAACCTGCCAGGAAGCATTTAGTTGGACGGTGTCTACCATGGTGTATGGTGGAGAAGGAACCTGCCAGGAAGCATTTAGTTGGACGGTGTCTACATGTGTATGTGGAGAAGGAACCTGCCAGGAAGCATTTAGTTGGACGGTGTATACCATGTGTATGTGGAGAAGGAACCTGCCAGGAAGCATTTAGTTGGACGGTGGTCTACCATGTGTATGGTGGAGAAGGAACCTGCCAGGAAGCATTTAGTTTGGACGGTTGTCTACCATGTGTATGTTGGAGAAGGAACCTGCCAGGAAGCCAGGACGGTGTCTACCATGTGTATGTGGAGAAGGAACCTGCCAGGAGCATTTAGTTGGACGGTGTCTACGCATGTGTATGTGGAGAAGGAAACCTGCCAGGAAGCATTTAGTTTGGACGGTGGTCTACCATGTGTATGTGGAGAAGGAACCTGCCAGGAAGCATTTAGGTTGGACGGTGTCTACCATGTGTATGTGGCGAAGGAACCTGCCAGGAAGCATTTAGTTGGACGGTGTTACCATGTGTATGTGGAGAAGGAACCTGCCAGGAAGCATTTAGTTGGACGGTGTCTACCATGTGTATGTGGAGAAGGAACCTGCCAGGAAGCATTTAGTTGGACGGTGTCTACCATGTGTATGTGGAGAAGGAACCTGCCAGGAAGCATTTAGTTGGACGGTGTCTACCATGTGTATGTGGAGAAGGAACCTGCCAGGAAGCATTTTAGTTGGACGGTGTCTACCATGTGTATGTGGAGAAGGAACCTGCCAGAGCATGGACGGGTTGTCTACCATGTTGTATGTGGAGAAGGAACCTGCCAGGAAGCATTTAGTTGGACGGTGTCTACCATGTGTATGTGGAGAAGGAACCTGCCAGGAAGCATTTAGTTTGGACGGTGTCTACCATGTGTATGTGGAGAAGGAACCTGCCAGGAAGCATTTAGTTGGACGGTGTCTACCATGTGTATGTGGAGAAGGAACCTGCCAGGAAGCATTTAGTTGGACGGTGTCTACCATGTGTATGTGGAGAAGGAACCTGCCAGGAAGCATTTAGTTGGACGGTGTCTACCATGTGTATGTGGAGAAGGAACCTGCCAGGAAGCATTTAGTTAGACGGTGTCTACCATGTGTATGTGGAGAAGGAACCTGCCAGGAAGCATTTAGTTGGACGGTGTCTACCATGTGTATGCTGTACGTACAACTATTAAAACTTGTCTTGGTCTGAACCAATAAACTGGCCCAGTATATATGACTTTGACCCTGTGTTTCTCTGTTCAACCCTAACCCTTTGACCCTGTGTTTCTCTGTTCAACCCTAACCCTAACCCTTTGACCCTTTGACCCGGTGTTTCTCTGTTCAACCCTAACCCTTTGACCCTTTGACCCTGTGTTTCTCTGTTCAACCCTAACCCTAACCCTAACCCTTTGACCCTGTGTTTCTCTGTTCAACCCTAACCCTTTGACCCTTTGACCTTTGACCCTGTGTTTCTCTGTTCAACTCAGCTCACCTCCAGAAGCTGGTGTCTGATAAGAAATGTGCTCCAGAGAAGAAGGCCGAGATGGAGGAAGTGGTGACTCAGGTTGGTACTGACGGACAGATGGGGGTTTAGAGACGTACAGCAGATATACTAGAATAGATACACAAACTATACCTTCATCAATCCCTGACGCATAAATGGAAGTCCTAAGTTATTGTTTAATGTCAACAAGTTGACCGTGTTTTCATTGGTCTCTCCAGATGGACAACTACACCCAACAGGAGTTGACTGACCTCTTTGTGAAATACAGCGTGAAGTCCCCCACCACAGGAAATGATGTTTCAGCGCCACATCTCTTCAACCTGATGTTCCAGACGTCCATCGGACCAGGGGGAAACATGACAGGGTAATGGAGCAATGACTCACTCTGGACCCAGATGTTGGTTGGACTGTGTGGGTGTACTGTAGGGTTTCCAATGCTGACGTTGGTCGTTTTGCCTTTGAACGGAGTTCCAATTAACTAATTTGCCATGGACCCAGTACCAGTGTTTTACTGAGTGTCTGACTTTATTCTGCAGCTACTTGAGGCCTGAAACTGCTCAGGGAATCTTCCTCAACTTCAAGCGTCTGTTGGAATTCAACCAGGGAAAGCTTCCCTTCGCTGCTGCTCAGATCGGCAACTCCTTCAGGAACGAGATCTCACCTCGCTCAGGACTCATCCGTGTCAGGTGAGTTCTAGTCTGGAGCTAGCTAGTTGCTAACGACATCGTTGTGATTCTATTTCTACCTGACAGTCTGGTGTGATGTTAGTTTCTACCTGACACTCGTCAGTTGTAAGGTGATCTGTTGTGATGTTTAGTTTCTCACCTTCAGATAGACAGTCTGTTGGGATGTGCTAGTTTCTACCTACCAGTATTGTGTTGTGATGTGTAGTTTTACCTACGTCTCGTTTTTTGTGATTGCTGTTTCACCTGAAAAAAGTCTGTTGTGATTGCTAGTTTCACCTAAAGACATCAGTCGTTTTTTATGTCTAGTTTCCCCGGGGGAAAACATCAGCTGTTGTGATGTTTTATTTTTCTACCGAAAGACAGTCGTTTGTGATGTGTTAGTTTCTACCTGACAGACAGTCTTTTGTGATTGTTGTTTCTACCTGAAAGACAGTCTCTTTTTGTGATTTTAGTTTCACCTGACAGACTTTTTGTGATGTGTAGTTTCTACCTGAAAACAGCAGTTTTTTTGTGAGTTGTTAGTTTCTACCTGAAAGACAGCAGTTTTTGTGAGTTTTTTATTTTTCTACCTACGCAGTCTGTTTGATGGTTATTTTTCTCCCCCTGAAAGCAGTCAGCTGTTGTGATGTGTTAGTTTCACCTCAGACAGTCTGTTTGTGGATTTTTCAAACCTAAAAAGCAGCAGTCTGTTGTGATTTTTGGGTTCACCTACAGTCGTTTTTTGTGATGTGTTAGTTTCTACCGACAGCCCAGACGGCTGTTTGATGGGGAGTTTCTACCTGACATCAACAGTCTGTTGTGATGTTTAGTTCAAATGCAGTCAGGCAGTTGTTTTGATTTGTTAGTTTTCCCTGCAGACATCAGTCTGTTGTGATTGTTATTTTTCTACCGCAGTCAGACAGTCTTTGGAGTTTATTTTCTACCTGAAGTAAACAGTTTTGTGAGTGTTTTTTTTACCTGACAGCCCAGACAGTTTTTTTGGGTGTGCTATTTTTCTACCTGACAGTCGTCGCTGTTGTGATGTGTTGTTTCTACCTCAGTCGTAAATTGTTGTGTGGTGGGGTTTTTCTACCTGACAGCAGCCCGGGCTTTGTGATGTTTATTTTCTCCCTACAGACATCGGGGGGTGGAGGTGTTATTTTTTCTCCTGACAGTAGACAGTCTTTTGTGGGGTTTTAGTTTCCCCCTGACATGCGCTGTTTGAGTTTTTATTTCTACCTGCCCTTTGACTTTGTTTGATGTGTTTAGTTTCAAACCGCAGTCAGTCACCTTTGTGATGGTTTTTCTACCGAAAGGACGTCAGTCTTTGTGATGTGTTATTTTCTACCTGAAGACAGTCGTCGGGTTGGGGATGGGGTTAGGGTTTTACGAAGACAGTCAGTCTGTTGTGATGTGTTAGTTTCTACCTGAAAGACAGACAGTCTGTTGTGATGTGTTAGTTTCTAACGACAGCGTCTGTTGTGAGTGTTATTTCTACTACAGACCATCTTTTTAAATTGTTAGTTTCTCCGACAGTTCAGTCAGTCTGTTGTGTGTGTTAGTTTCTCCCTGAAAGACAGTATGTTGTGATGTGTTATTTCCATCCTGACAGTCAGACAGTCTGTTGTGATGTGTTAGTTTCTTAAAAACCCAACAGTCTGTTGGGGATGTGTTGTTTTTACCTGACATCAGACAGTCTGTGTGATGTGTTAGTTTCTCCTGACAGTCAGTCAGTCGTTTGATGTGTTAGTTTTTACCTGAAAGCAGTCAGCCCTGTGTGAGGTGTAGTTTCTACTGACAGACTTGTTTGATTGTTAGTTTCTACCTGACAGTCATTTCAGTCTGTTTTTAGTGTGAGTTTCTACCTGAAAGACAGTCAGTCTGTTGTGATGTGTTAGTTTCTACCTGACAGACAGTTCTGTTGTGATGTGTTAGTTTCTACCTGACAGACAGTCTGTTGTGATGTGTTAGTTTCTACCTGACAGACAGTCTGTTGTGATGGGGGTTAGTTTCCCTTTTAAGACAGTCAGTCTGTGTGATGTGTTAGTTTCTACCGGGAAAAGTCAGTCTGTTGTGATGTGCTAGTTTCTTACCTGAAAGACGTCAGTCTGTTTGTAAATGTTTTTTGTTTCTACCTGACGTCGTCAGTCTTTTTGGTAGAGTTGAGTTTTTAACCTACAGTCAGTCCTGTTGTGTGATGTGTAGTTTCTACCTGACAGACAGTCTGTTGTGATGTGTTAGTTTCTACCTGAAAGACAGTCAGTCTGTTGTGATGTGCTAGTTTCTACCTGACAGACAGTCAGTCTGTTGTGATGTGTTAGTTTCTACCTGAAAGACAGTCAGTCTGTTGTGATGTGTTAGTTTCTACCTGACAGACAGTCTGTTGTGATGTGTTAGTTTCTACCTGACAGTCAGACAGTCTGTTGTGATGTGTTAGTTTCTACCTGACAGTCAGACAGTCTGTTGTGATGTGCTAGTTTCTACCATGACAGACAGTCTGTTGTGATGTGTTAGTTTCTACCTGACAGTCAGACAGTCTGTTGTGATGTGTTAGTTTCTACCTGACAGTCTGTTGTGATGTGTTAGTTTCTACCTGACAGTCAGTCTGTGATGTTAGTGTTTAGAGGGTCTGTTGAGCTAGTGATGGTTGTCCTGGTGCTTCCAGAGAGTTCACCATGGCTGAGATTGAGCACTTTGTGGACCCGACTGAGAAGGTCCACCCCAAGTTCGCCAACGTGGCTGACCTGGAAATCGTCCTGTACTCCTCCAAGGCCCAGACCAGCGGACAGTCTGCTCACATCATGAGGCTGGGGGACGCTGTGGAGCAGGTAGGATGCTGTAACAGTGGCTTCAGTAAGGAAGTAACCAATACCAGAGTCATATTGATAACTCTGTCTCTCTCAGGGAGTGATCAATAATTCCGTCCTGGGATATTTCATCGGGAGGATCTACCTCTACCTTACTAAAGTGGGTGTGGCCAAAGACAAGCTTCGCTTCCGTCAGCACATGGACAACGAGATGGCCCACTACGCCTGTCGACTGCTGGGACGCAGAGACCAAAACATCCTACGTAGGTCCTCCATGACCCCTGACCCTAACCCCTAACCTTAACCCACTACGCCTGTGACTGCTGGGACGCAGAGACCAAAACATCCTATGTAGGTCCTCCATGACCCCTGACCCTAACCCCTAACCTTAACCCACTACGCCTGTGACTGCTGGGACGCAGAGACCAAAACATCCTACGTAGGTCCTCCATGACCCCTGACCCTAATCTTAACCCACTACGCCTGTGACTGCTGGTACGCAGAGACCAAAACATCCTATGTAGGTCCTCCATGACCCCTGACCCTAACCTTAACCCACTACGCCTGTGACTGCTGGGACGCAGAGACCAAAACATCCTACTGTAGGTCCTCCATGACCCCTGACCCTAATCTTAACTAACCCGCCTGTGACTGCTGGTACGCAGAGACCAAAACAGCCTAAATGTAGGAGGAAGATCCTCCGTGACCCCTGACCCTGAACCCCTACGGGTAAACCTTAACCCAACTATACGCCTGTGACTGCTGGGAAACAACAGAGACCCAAACTCCTAAAGTTGTAGGTCCTCCATTACCGCCTGACCCTAACCCCCTAACCTTAAAACCCACTATGCCTGACTGCTGGGACGCAGAGACCAAAAACATTCTAGTGTAAGGGTCAACCCAACCCTCGAGCGGCAGGGATGTGTACTACACGTTGAAGTTCTTAGTCTTTGTGGTTGAGTTAAGCCTTAAACCACCCAATAATAACCCTAGTTAACCTTAAAAACCCCCTAAAACCCTAGTTACCCTAACCCCCTAATAACCCTGAGTTAAACCTTAACCCCATAATAACCTGAGTTAAACCCAACCCCATAATAACCCTGAGTTACCCAACCCCATAATAACCCTGGTTACCCAACCCCCTAAAACCCTGAGTTACCCTACCCCTAATAAACCCCGATTAACCCTAACCCCCATATAACCCTGCGTTAACCTTAACCCACAAATAACCCTAGTTAACCCCCTAACCCCATAATAACCCGGTAACCTGAACCCAAATAACCCTGCGTTAACCTTAACCCCCTAAAAACCCTGCTTAACCTTAACCCCATAATAAACCCCGCGGTTTAAACCCTTTAACCCCATAATAACCCTGAGTTAACCTTAACCCCATAATAACCCTGAGTTAACCTTAACCCCATAATAACCCTGAGTTAACCTTAACCCCATAATAACCCTGAGTTAACCTTAACCCCATAATAACCCTGAGTTAACCCTAACCCCATAAAACCTTAGTTAACCCTACCCATTAATAACCGAGTTAACCCAAAAACCCCTAATAAACCCGAGTTAACCTTAACCCATAATAACCCTGAGAACCCTAAACCCTAATAACCCTGATTAAACCCTAACCCATAATAACCCTGAGTTAACCCAACCCCAAATAACACCTGAGGTTAAACCCTAACCCCATAATAACCCTAGTTAACCCTAACCCCAAAAAAAAACCCTGAGTTTAACCCTAACCCCATAAAACCCTTTAGTAACCCAAACCCCATAAAACCCTGAGTTAACCCTAACCCCATAATAAACCCTGAGTACCTAACCCCATAAAACCCTGAGGTACCTTAACCCCATAATAACCCTGAGTTAACTTTAACCCATAATAACCCTGAGTAAACCTTAACCCCCAATACCCTGATTAACCCTAAACCCCTAATAAACCCTGATTAACCCCTAACCCCCATATAACCCTGAGTTAAACCCCAACCCCATAATAACCGAGTTAAACCCAACCCATAATAAACCCTGAGTTAACCTAAACCCCATAAAAACCCTGAGTTAACCCTAACCCCATAATACCTGAAGGTTAACCCTAACCCCATAAACCCCTGATTAACCCTAACCCCTAATAACCCTGGCTTAACCCTAACCCCATAAAAACCCCCGGGGTTAAACCCTAACCCCATAATACCCTGAGTTAACCTTAACCCCATAATAGCCCTGACGTTTAACCTTAACCCCATAAAAACCCTGAGTTAACCTAACCCCAAAACCCTGAGTTAACCTTAACCCCATAATAACCCTGATAACCTTAACCCCAAATAATCCTGAGTTAACCTTAACCCCATAATAAACCTGAGTTAACCCTAACCCCAAAAATCCCTGAGTTAACCCTAACCCCTAATAAACCCTGATTTAAACCTAACCCCATATAACCCTAGTACCTTAACCCATAATAACCCTGAGTTAACCTAAACCCCTAATAACCCTGATAACCCTAACCCCATAATACCCTGAGGGTTAACCCAACCCCATAAACCCTGATTAACCCTAACCCCATAAAACCCTGAGTTTAACCCTAACCCCAAATAACCCTGAGTTAAACCCCACCCCATAATAACCCTGAGTTAAACCCTAACCCCATAATAACCCTGAGTTAACCCTAACCCCATATAACCCTGATTAACCCAAACCCCATATAACCCTGATTTTAACCTTACCCCATAACCCTGAATTTAACCCTAACCCCATAAATAAAACCCCGAGGTTAACCTTAACCCCATATCCCTGAGTTAACCACAACATAAAACCCTGAGTTAACCCAACCCCATAATAACCCCGAGTTAACCCAACCCATAATAACCCTGAGTAACCTTAACCCCATAAACCCTTTAGTTAACCCTAACCCCATAATAACCCTGGTAAACCCACCCATAATGCCTGGGTAACCCTAAAACCCCATAATAACCCTGAGTTAACCCTAACCCCATAATAACCCTGAGTTAACCCTAACCCCATAATAACCCTGAGTTAACCCTAACCCCATAATAACCCTGAGTTAACCCTAACCCCATAATAACCCTGAGTTAACCCTAACCCCATAATAACCCTGCGTCTCTGTATTTCCTGCAGGGCTGGATTGAGATAGTGGGCTGTGCGGACCGCTCCTGTTTCGACCTGCTGTGCCACGCCCGGGCTACCAAGGTCGCTCTAGTGGCAGAGAAGCCTCTAAAAGAACCCAAAGTAGTAGATATGGTCCAGTTTGAGGCCAATAAGGGCGCCATCGGTAAAGCCTATAAGAAGGACGCCAAGCTAGCGATGGAGTATCTAGCTGTATGTGACGAGTGTTTCATCACTGAACAGGAGATGCTACTCAACAGCAGCGGGTGAGTAGTGAACAGAGGTCATATGTGACACAATCGATAGATTTAATTCTTTAGCCTCCGTAATGTTATGCAATATTCCAGGCTCATTGACAATGCTAAACCTAACCTTCCCCCAGGGAGTTCACCATAGAGACGGAGGGAAAGACTTTTAAACTCACCAAGGACATGGTCAGTGTGAAGAGATTCCAGAAGACCCTGCATGGTGAGACAACACTCTAGAACCTTCTAGAACCTAGACATGTTCTAGAGGAGGTTGTTCTAGGTTCTCTTGTTGTTGAATAACATCCTCTTTCTACTGGATGGACAGTTCTAATTGTAGAAGCCATGCATTAAGATCGCAGCCAACCATAACATGTTTAACTTATTCTGTGTGTTTCTGCTTCCCCACAGTGGAGGAGGTGGTCCCTAACGTCATCGAACCCTCTTTTGGCATCGGTAGAATCATGTACTCAATCTTCGAGCACACATTCCAAGTCCGAGAGGGAGACGAACAGAGAACGGTAGGGAGACATCAAATGTTACTACTACTGACTGGGCCGTTAGAACTTAGTTATTACATAAATGGTTTTAACAGTGGAATAATGGTTTTGAAATGTCCGTCTCTCTTGTCTCCAGTTCTTCAGCTTCCCTACCACGGTAGCTCCATATAAATGCTCCGTCCTTCCTTTGAGCCAAAACCAGGAATTCACGCCTTTTGTTAAGGAACTCTGTAAGTACTCCTTCCACGCTCTATTCTGTAGACCCAAACCATCTGGATTTCAAAACCAAAGTTGAACATTCAGTGTAGAATTTAAAATAAAGGGATTTAACTAACATGTTCCTCAACCCTCTCTCCTCCCCCTCTCCTCCCCCCCTCCTCCCACCCCTCCGGCCGCCTCCCAAACTCCTCTCCTCCCTCTCCCGTTCTCTCTCATCACTCACTCCTACTCTCACCCCTCTTCCTCCCTCTCCCACCCTCTCTCTCACCTCAATCACCGTCTCCGTCTACTCCTCCCGTTCTCTACCCAGTCTCTCCGTCTCCGTCAATCCCACCCGTCTCCATCCTCCCGTCTCACTCACCAGCTCTACCCACCCTCATCCCTCACCGTCCCACTCCATCTCCTCCCGTCTCCTCACCCTCTCTCCTCACCCTCTCTCCTCCCGTCTCCTCACCCTCTCTCACGACCCTCTCCCACCCTCCTCCTCCCCCTTCACCCTCCAAGTCTCCTCCCCTCATCTCACCCGGATCCTACACCCTCCTCCTCCCGTCTCCTCACCCTTCTATCTACTCCCACCGGCTCCTCTCCTCACCGCTCTCTCTCCCTCTCCTCACCCTATCTCTCCCGTCTCCACCCTCCCCTCTCCTCACCTTCTCCTCAGCTTTCCTCCTTCTCCTCCGCTTCTCTCTCCCGTCTCCTCAACCTCACCCCTCCCGTCCTCCCTTCTCCTCCCCACTCCTCACCCTCTCTCCTCCCGTCTCCTCCCCTCTCGGATCCTCCTTCGTCCTCACCCTCTCTCCTCCCGTCTCCTCACCCTCTCCTCACCCTGTCTCCTCCTTGCAGCTGAAGCGATGACCAAACAGGGCGTGTCCCATAAGGTGGACGACTCGTCAGGATCCATCGGGAGGCGCTACGCCAGGACAGACGAGATCGGAGTGGCGTTCGGCATCACCATTGACTTTGACACGGTGAACAAGACGCCCCACACCGCCACGCTGAGGGACCGCGACTCCATGAGGCAGATCAGGGCCGAGGTACGACATCTTTACTTCATACATGTCAACGTACTGCTCTGTACTAGAAGTGATTAACTGAAAGGTTAATGAACTGGGTTAACTGGGTTCTCTGTTGCCTCTCCAGGTCAGTGAGTTGCCAGGAATCATCCGTGATCTGGCCAACGGTGTCATGACTTGGTCCGAGGTGGAGAGCAAGTACCCCATCTTTGAGGGACAGGAGACCAGCAAGAAGGACACGACCGAGGAATGAACTCCGTATGTCTGTCAGTCACTGCTATGAAACGCCCACAGACATTTTTACATTTCTGCATCCATAGGGACAATTTTACTGCAACTGTAATTCAGTCAGTCCTCACGGTGTCCTAACACACAACTGCAACCACTGAAATTAAACTTCAAAATAAATGTTATATAGTTATTGTACCTAATGATTATAAACAGGGTGACAGTGTAATGATTTGTCCCTGTTCTGGTAAATATTCACCTGCGTACTGGAATCTGCTCTGAGTGGAGGAAGAGGGGGAGAGAAAGAGAGAGAGGGGGGGGAGAGGAAGAGATCTTCTCAGCCTGGAATAAAAAGAGAAATGTGTTCAGGTTGTCAATCTTGTGTGGGAAGAGAAGAGAGGCTTCACGATTCCAGTTTCAGGACTGATTAAATCAACATGGAAAACATCTCTGGTTCAATAAACGGAACCTGCTCTTACTGGAACCAACCTGTGTCTGTTTCAATGACTGGGAAATAAGCTGACATGGACCTGACTCCCATTATGGCCCCTAGCGGGCCCTAGACCAGTGGTTCCCAAACCTGACTCCCATTATGGCCCCTAGCGGGCCCTAGACCAGTGGTTCCCAAACCTGACTCCCATTATGGCCCCTAGCGGGCCCTAGACCAGTGGTTCCCATTATGGCCCCTAGCGGGCCCTAGACCAGTGGTTCCCATTATGGTCCCTAGCGGGCCCTAGACCAGTGGTTCCCATTATGGCCCCTAGCGGGCCCTAGACCAGTGGTTCCCATTATGGCCCCTAGCGGGCCCTAGACCAGTGGTTCCCATTATGGCCCCTAGCGGGCCCTAGACCAGTGGGTTCTCAAACCTCTCCTTGGTGAACACCAGACATTTCACCATTTTATTGAAGCCCTGAACTATCTCACCTGATTGACCTAGTCAAGGGCTTGATGATTAGTTGAATCAGCTGTGCTGGGTGATGTAACGGCTGGGGGTCCCAGAGGAGAGGTTGGGGAACCACTAGCCACTAAATGGGGAATAGGGTCATTTGGAACTCATACATGTTGTATTACAACTGTCCACCAGAGAGCAGAGATTGACAGTTTTCTTTACAACAAATGAATTTGCGCTTGAGACAAAACAGACCCATGTTCCCCTGTAATTTGGGTATTTTCTATTTTCCCTGGAAAGGGAAACTACACCACTATTCTAGTGGTCTGTGTTCCATTAGTATAATAGGGGCTGCACTGAAGCTTTGAGAGAAGGAAACATTACTGAGACAACACATTGGTCATGTTCCCCTGCTGAGACGTTGCTGACACACGCCTGATCTTACAAGGCCGGGATAGATATTCAACGTATCAGCTATTCAACGTATCAGCTATTCAACGTATCAGCGTATCAGCTAACCAACGTATCAGCTATTCAACGCATCAGCTATTCAACGCATCAGCTATTCAACGCATCAGCTATTCAACGTATCAGCTAACCAACGTATCAGATATTCAACGCATCAGCGTATCAGCTATTCAACGTATCAGCTATTCAACGTATCAGCTAACCAACGTATCAGCTATTCAACGTATCAGCTATTCAACTTAAAGATCAGCTAACTCAACGTATCAGATATATCACGTATCAGATATTCAACGTATCAGCTATTCAACGCATCAGCGTATCAGCTATTCAACGCATCAGCTATTCAACGTATCAGCTATTCAACGCATCAGCTATTCAACGCATCAGCTATTCAACGCATCAGCTATTCAACGCATCAGATATTCAACGTATCAGCTATTCAACGTATCAGCTAACCAACGTATCAGCTATTCAACGTATCAGCTATTCACCGTATCAGCTATTCAACGTATCAGCTAACCACATATTATAGCAATCTGGTGCCTGAGCAGGGGAACGCCACACTAATGCTGTCAGTCTCAACGTCTGAGCAGGGGAACGCCACACTAATGCTGTCAGTCTCAACGTCTGAGCAGGGGAACGCCACACTAATGCTGTCAGTCTCACGTCTGAGCAGGGGAACGCCACACTAATGCTGTCAGTCTCAACGTCTGAGCAGGGGAACGCCACACTAATGCTGTCAGTCTCAACGTCTGAGCAGGGGAACGCCACACTAATGCTGTCAGTCTCAACGTCTGAGCAGGGGAACGCCACACTAATGCTGTCAGTCTCAACGCAACAACCTCTGAGCTCATTCTCACTTGAAAATACTCTGATCAAATACTTTACAAGTGACTGGGTTGTCCTTGACAATTTCAACAGTGAACTAACATACAGTGCATTCGGAAAGTATTCAGACCCCATGACTTTTTCCACATTTTGTTACGTTACATCCTTATTCTAAAATGGATGAAATTATATTTTTTCCTCATCAATCTACACACAATACCCCATTATGACAAAGCGAAAACAGGTTTTTATAATTTTTTGTTAATTTATTAAAAATAAAACTGAAATATCACATATACATATGTATTCAGACCCTTTAATCAGTACTTTGGCAGCGATTACACCCTCAAGTCTTCTTGGGTATGACGCTACAAGCTTGACACACCTGTATTTGGGGAGTTTCTCCCATTCTTCTCTGCAGATCCTCTCAAGCTCTGTCAGGTTGGATGGGGAGCATCGCTGCACAGCTATCCACTCAAGGACATTCAGAGACTTGTCCCGAAGCCACTCCTGCATTGTCTTGGCTGTGTGCTTTGGGTCATTGTCCTGTTGGAAGGTGAACCTTCTGGAGCAGGTTTTCATCAAGGATCTCTCTGTACTTCTCTCCGTTCATCTTTCCCTCGATACTGACTAGTCTCCCAGTCCCGCTGAAAAACCTCCCCACAGCATGATGCTGCCACCACCATGCTTCATAAGTATTTGATACATCAGAAAAGCAGAACTTAATATTTGGTACAGAAACCTTTGTTTGCAATTACAGAGATCATACGTTTCCTGTAGGTCTTGACCAGGTTTGCACACACTGCAGCAGGGATTTTGGCCCACTCCTCCATACAGACCTTCTCCAGATCCTTCAGGTTTCGGGGCTGTCGCTGGGAAATACGGACTTTCAGCTCCCTCCAAATATTTTCTATTGGTTTCAGGTCTGGAGACTGGCTAGGCCACTCCAGGACCTTGAGATGCTTCTTACGGAGCCACTCCTTAGTTGCCCTGGCTGTGTGTTTCGGGTCGTTGTCATGCTGGAAGACCCAGCCACGACCCATCTTCAATGCTCTTACTGAGGGAAGGAGGTTGTTGGCCAAGATCTCGCGATACATGACCCCATCCATCCTCCCCTCAATACGGTGCAGTCGTCCTGTCCCATTTGCAGAAAAGCATCCCCAAAGAATGATGTTTCCACCTCCATGCTTCACGGTTGGGATGGTGTTCTTGGGGTTGTACTCATCCTTCTTCTTCCTGCAAACAAGGCAAGTGGAGTTGAGACCAAAAAGCTATATTTTTGTCTCATCAGACCTCATGAACTTCTCCCATTCCTCCTCTGGATCATCCAGATGGTCATTGGCAAACTTCAGACGGGCCTGGACATGCGCTGGCTTGAGCAGGGGGACCTTGCGTGCGCTGCAGGATTTTAATCCATGACGGCGTAGTGTGTTACTAATGGGTTTCTTTGAGACTGTGGTCCCAGCTCTCTTCAGGTCATTGACCAGGTCCTGCCATGTAGTTTTGGGCTGATCCCTCACCTTCCTCATGATCATTGATGCCCCACGAGGTGAGATCTTGCATGGAGCCCCAGACCGAGGGTGATTGACCGTCATCTTGAACTTCTTCCGTTTTCTAATAATTGCGCCAACAGTTGTTGCCTTCTCACCAAGCTGCTTGCCTATTGTCGTGTAGCCCATCCCAGCCTTGTGCAGGTCTACAATTTTATCCCTGATGTCCTTACACAGCTCTCTGGTCTTGGCCATTGTGGAGAGGTTGGAGTCTGTTTGATTGAGTGTGTGGACAGGTGTCTTTTATACAGGTAACAAGTTCAAACAGGTGCAGTTAATAAAGGTAATGAGTGGAGAACAGGAGGGCTTCTTAAAGAAAAACTAACAGGTCTGTGAGAGCCGGAATTCGTACTGGTTGGTAGGTGATCAAATACTTATGTCATGCAATAAAATGCAAATTAATTACTTAAGAATCATACAATGTGATTTTCTGGATTTTCATTTTAGATTCCGTCTCTCACAGTTGAAGTGTACCTATGATAAAAATGACAGACCTCTACATGCTTTGTAAGTAGGAAAACCTGCAAAATCGGCAGTGTATCAAATACTTGTTCTCCCCACTGTGTGTGTATGTGTGTGTGTGTATATATATACAGTGGGGAAAAAAAGTATTTAGTCAGCCACCCATTGTGCATGTTCTCCCACTTAAAAAGATGAGAGAGGCCTGTAATTTTCATCATAGGTACACGTCAACTATGACAGACAAAATCAGAAAAGAAATTCCAGAAAATCACATTGTAGGATTTTTAATGAATTTATTTGCAAATTATGGTGGAAAATAAGTATTTGGTCAATAACAAAAGTTTCTCAATACTTTGTTATATACCCTTTGTTGGCAATGACACAGGTCAAACGTTTTCTGTAAGTCTTCACAAGGTTTTCACACACTGTTGCTGGTATTTTGGCCCATTCCTCCATGCAGATCTCCTCTAGAGCAGTGATGTTTTGGGGCTGTCGCTGGGCAACACGGACTTTCAACTCCCCCCAAATATTTTCTATGGGGTTGAGATCTGGAGACTGGCTAGGCCACTCCAGGACCTTGAAATGCTTCTTACGAAGCCACTCCTTCTTTGCCCGGGCGGTGTGTTTGGGATCATTGTCATGCTGAAAGACCCAGCCACGTTTCATCTTCAATGCCCTTGCTGATGGAAGGAGGTTTTCACTCAAAATCTCACGATACATGGCCCCATTCATTCTTTCCTTTACACGGATCAGTCGTCCTGGTCTCTTTGCAGAAAAACAGCCCCAAAGCATGATGTTTCCACCCCCATGCTTCACAGTAGGTATGGTGTTCTTTGGATGCAACTCAGCATTCTTTGTCCTCCAAACACGACGAGTTGAGTTTTTACCAAAAAGTTCTATTTTGGTTTCATCTGACCATATGACATTCTCCCAATCCTCTTCTGGATCATCCAAATGCACTCTAGCAAACTTCAGACGGGCCTGGCGTAAGCAGGGGGACACGTCTGGCACTGCAGGATTTGAGTCCCTGGCGGCGTAGTGTGTTACTGATGGTAGGCTTTGTTACTTTGGTCCCAGCTCTCTGCAGGTCATTCACTAGGTCCCCCCGTGTGGTTCTGGGATTTTTGCTCACCGTTCTTGTGATCATTTTGACCCCACGGGGTGAGATCTTGCGTGGAGCCCCAGATCGAGGGAGATTATCAGTGGTCTTGTATGTCTTCCATTTCCTAATAATTGCTCCCACAGTTGATTTATTCAAACCAAGCTGCTTACCTATTGCAGATTCAGTCTT